TAGTGGCCAACGCAACCCCTGCCTCAGCTTGCTCGAGCGAGAGCTGTGGGAGGCGGAAGTCATTCAGGTCAGCAGTAGCATCCCAGATCCGGAGGAGAGGGCATCTGGATTGCTCCATAACTTCATGAATGGGATCCTCCAAAGAAATCCGCTTCACAAGCTTGGACAGCTCCGCCTGAACGGCATCCAGATTGGCAGCCCCAGCCGAACCAGGGAGATCGTTGAAAAGGGGATTGGTATGGGAAGCTTCGAATTGCGGGTCGACCTCCATTTGATCCAAATTCACCTGATCAACAGGCACTTGTTGGATGGGCTCAGCAGGCCAGCAGCTTGAGCCACCGGTTGGGAGGACCCACGGCCCTCTGTTCGGGACTCTTTCTTGGCTTGCTTCTTCCTCTTACCAGCATCCATGGGTACTAGACGATTGACATTCATGTTTGTTTCGATGTTGGGAGCTGGAAAAATAAAAAGGGAAATGTTAGTACCGAGCGGTCTTAACGTGTGTGAAACAAGCATGTGTAAGTTTCTCGCACGGGAAGGACCGCTCGGGCCATGGCACTTGGTTTTTAGTCAAAGATCCCATGAATTCGGGCAGCACCTATCCCAACTTCCACGAGCTAGTCAGGGGTCAAATAAGTCATGATATCTAGCGTGTTGGCCCTCTCTACGGCGACGATCTTCTCTCCTAGCTCCATGGAGACAAATGGCTCGGTGGATTTTCGTGGGTAAGCGTTCCACCTCCTAGGGGTGAGAACGTCCAGGACAGAGACGAAGAAAAAGCGATCTTTCTATCCCTTGATGGAAGTAAGGTTCTCCTTAAAAAGGATCTGTTTCATTCGGGCACTTACTGACAGGAATCCATCGGTTTGTTGGGGAGCAACCTTGAAGAAATAATGGAAGAGGTCCAGAACAGGCACCACATCAACATCCTTGCAACGACAGATAAACCCGGCTATGACCCGGTAGGAATTCAGCATTACTTGGGTCGGGGCTATTTGGTAGTGGTTGAAAAAGGCCACGAAGAAAAAGTGCAGGGAAAATCTTAGTCCGGCCTTAAACAGAATCGAAATGCACCACCACCATTCCAGGGCAGTGGCGCAGGGGATGAAGACCAGCGTGAAGACGGAAATCAATTGGGTCGGGAATAAGGGTAGGAACTTGAGCCCTAAGTTTATTGGACATCTTTTGTCTCCGATTTCGGATGGGCCTCATGTCCAAATGGTGACGAGGGGCATCGTCAGGAGGGCCTGTTCTCATTACCTCCATATCATCCCCGGATATGGCGTCATCAGAGTCACTACTAGACGCATCATCGGAGGATCGCTAGGAGTGGCATCCTAAGAACCATTGGCGGGGGAAGAGTTTCCTGCCATATCCTCTGCGGCACCCCTAATGCCTGCATCATTGTTTGCCTGGGTATTCTCTTCTGAACCTCGGAGCGGTTCGATGACCGAAAGGTCAGAAGGGATAGATCTCGAAGACATTTGCACCAAACCAGGGAATAAAGGGAAGGAAGAAGAAGAGGACAAAGGACTGATGGTTACCTGAGCCAAATGCGAAATTAGGGATTTGGAAAGAAGGCAGAATACTTGAGCGAAGGGGCGAAAATCCGAAAACCCAGAACCAGAGCCCAAAACCCTACTTATGGACTAGAGGCATCGTTACACCAACCAGTCACAAAGTGACATGTGGCAAGAAATGCTCCAAGGGACACATGTCGCACAGAGGCGAAGCGTCAAGTAATCATGGCCATTATCTAGAGAATGCAAGCAACAGCCGCCAGAAAATTTCGAACCGTCACATCAAGGATCAATGGACATAAATGCAATTCACCAAGCGAGACTTGATCGAACGACAGAACAAGCACAATATACTTCCTTATGTCCCAAGTACGCTCGGAACATCGGAAGTGGGGGACTTGTGATGGGATATTAGGGTCCGGCCCAATATATCGGCCCAAAAATATCCCTGGGGCCCGAGAACAGGGGAAGTCCCAAGGCGAAACAATGGGCTCCCGAACAGGAATTGGACAAGTTTAAAAGATACCCGTTCGGCACATCCTGAACGGGACCTAGTTAGCACTTACATCGCAATGACCTTCTGAATTGACGGCTCAGTGGGTCCTAGTGCCGATCAGGAGTGCGCACAAGTGGCGGGCTGCATTGAATGCTGGAGCATGGAGGTCTCAAGTAGAAGCATGGGTCCTCAAGTGGAATGGGAAGCAACCAATCACATCGGAGCGCCCCATACCCCCACCTACCTAGTTCTAGTATAAATAGCAACATTTATTTCAGGAAAAGGGTTAGCATTTGTTTACTCACAAGCTCTAATAGCATTCTAGCTCTTGTATTAGCCTTTGCACCGTAACTCTCGTTCGGCCTTTCCGTGTAATTGTTATTACTGCATTAATACAAGCTGAGTTATTTGAGTAGTTGAATCAGATTTTATATTTTCTTTTATACACTCTACTGTAGCAAATCGCACCCTAGATCCAAGGTTGTTGTTGGGCCTTCGGGTCAGTTGAGACTAAACCTCAACACCTATTTTTGGATGTTTCCCTATTATTGTCCCATACTATATTTGGTAATATTTATGTGCCTCTAATTCATTCTTACTTTATCAACTCATTATCAATCACATAATTTTACTTTTCTTAAAAACCACATCACTCTCTTCTGTTCCAATGTTAGGGAGATGAATGGAGTATAATTCTCTACATTCACAAATAATCTTTTATAAAGTATGACTACCATATGGAGTAAAGTATGACTCCCTTATGGAGTTATATGAGGTATTGTGCCACCACCACCACCACTTAAAATGAGTGGTGATGGTGGTTGCACAATATCTCATATAACTTCATAATTGAGTAATGAATATCTCTAAATCTATTTCATATATTCATGTCTCTAAACTAGTATGCAAATTATGTCATAGCAAAATATGTCCCTGTCCATGTGACTGAAGTTTAACACATTTGTCAAATATGAATATCAGGGCCGGCCCTGGGCCTGTCTGCCCAGTCCAACCGCACAGGGCCCGAATTTTTGAAGGGCCCAAAAAAAATTAGTATTAGACCCAGCCCATTAGTTTTTAGCCCAACAATCCAACATCTCTTCCCCCAAAATCCCCTGCTCCACGCGACAACACCCTCAGCTATTCCCCCTACGCAGCAACCCACGCCCAAGGGCCAAGGCGATTCACTCTGCAGCTACGCGTCTCCAGTCCAACCGCACACCGCACACCGCCACAACCATAGCTCCGCACGCCGCCGCCTGCCGTCCAGCCTCCAGGCACCACTGCAGTCTGCAGTCAACCAGCCGCCCGCCTCCCTCAGACCCTCAAGCTCCCGCCTGACCACCTCCCTCAGTCCAGTCGTCCAGACGTCCGGTCAGTCCACTGCATCCAGTTTCTTTTATTCATTTAGTTGCTAACTTGCTAATTCTTGTGTACTTTTGATTTATTGAATTGATGAATTGTTTGTTGAATTCTTGTAAGTTGTTTATTTTCAGATTTAATGTTTGTTGAATTGTTGCATTGTCGTTATTTGTTGATTTTTTGCAGTTAAAGTAAATCATTATTTGAATTGATAATAAATGTGTAATTTTGTAAATGTGTTTAGCAATTAAAATTTAAGAAAGTGGTATAAATATATTATTAGGTAACTTGAGGTTGATAAATTATAATTATAATTATATAGGGTGCGGTTCCGATAAAAACCATCATTATCGTGCAAACTGCAAACCGTCACTTTTGGCTCAATTTGATTCACTTTAAGGCTCGTCTCTTGCACTTTTTGAACTTTGGTTGAATCATGTCAAATAGAAAAAAATGGTGGCACTTCTGTAAATAAGTCAAAGTTGTGTGCCATTGTGAAAAAGTGCAAAATAGAAACCTAATAGTGCATCACAATGGGGGAAAAGTGACCGGTTTTAGTTTTCACGGGAAGAAAGGTTTTTATTTGATCCGGAATCAGTATAGTTATTCATGTTTTCACCCTAATTTTAAACTGAATATTAATTTAAAATTTATAAACACCCTAATGTTTTCACCCTAATTTTAAATTGAATATTAACTTGAGCTAGGATTAGAGGAGAATTTCAATAATCGGTAATAATTGTGTTTCCATATAAATACCAATCCGGTCATGACAAGCGTCAAAGGAAAAGAAGACTTGACGAGTTAACCCAATCTAAAAAAGGAGCTCTTGATAAGTTTATTATTAAAGAAGTTAGAGATGTTCAAGAGGGTGAACAAGTGAATGTTGAAAATAATGTTGAAATATCTGATCAATGTGTTAACGAAATGACTGAAAATCTTGATAAATAGGACCACATAATTGATGTTTTAGATGATAGGCCAAATAATTCTGATTTATTTGACATATTAACTTTTGTGGAAAGGCCTAAAGAAAAATTCTCTAAAGCCCAAATTTTATTATTGCACAGTATCTCCGTTTTCTCGGGACGGACCCTGACGAATATAGTCATGTTTGTGAGAATAAATCACAAGTAAATAACAGTGATATACTGCGCAAACTTGTGTTAGTGTTGATAAATGCATGTGTTTTTAGGTTGCACGGAGTATTATTTACTCACAAAAATAAACTTATTGTTTACGTCAATTGACGATATAAATTAATTATCTTTGTGAAGAAGTGTAGAGATTATTATCCTCAAATTTTAAAATAAATGATATGGCAAGATTCGAGATCTTTGACTTTTGCTATCCGGGTTAGATACGGATTAGTCTACTACCTTGCGAGCTTTAATAATCCGACCGTTGAAATCTAAAGCTGACCTTTATTTGCTTTTCGACTCATTTCCTTTCTCTGGGTAAGAAAAGTACCGTCCTCAACAGACCGTTCGGAGGATGTAATGCAATAACAACCGTAGGATCTGATTTGCTCGGACGGTTGATATTCATCGACCGTTGTATCCAAATAGTTGCCAGCGCGACCCGGGATTTCAAATTTAAAGAAGTCTCACCATTTCCGTCTTCAAGACTTCAAAGTTCGTATTTTTCAGATAAATTCATTGTTTTTCCGTTTGAGGATTATTATTATAATTAGTCATTTTTTATTTCAATTTCTTTGTCCGGGACTAATAATGGTGAAAATGGCGGTTGATTCACCCTCTTCATCTCCGGTGACCATCACAATTTCTACTTCAGGCGGCGGATTCCACAGCTTGACAAGTCCCGTTCGTCGCCTATCTTTGTCGAATGCGAACCCTAATTCGCCGCTGAGTAGTCGAGGTGGGTTAGGGGGCTCGTCAAGTGGGGGCGGAAGATACGTCTCCATGTGTAAAGATAGCAGGGAGGAAATCCTAGCTTACACAGTTCAAATTCCTCATACCCCAGAACATATTAACAATGGAAACATGGCCGATTCGGTGACGACCAGCTCTTCTCTCGATGTAAGCAAAAGTTGTAGTGGAAACCCTACTGAAGGTAGTTACATCATTGATACTATCTATACGGGTGGGCTGAATTGCGTGACCCGGGCACATGTAAAGAGAAGCATGCAAAATTTAGAGTCAGTAGAGATGAAATCAAAGGTGGTGTGTGAAATGGAAGGATGTGATGAGAATGCCCCTGAGGCTCAATGTGAATGTGGGTTCAGAATTTGCAGGGACTGCTACATGGATTGTGTTGGAAAAGGACGGGTTGGCTCTTGTCCTGGCTGTAAAGAGCTCTACAAGGGTATCAGCGATGAAGATGAGGAGGAGGAACAGTCTGACGACCAAGATAGGGCAAACCCTCTTCTGCGGGCTCCTTCAAGGAGGAGAGGTGGTGAAAGCAGTAGCAGAAGAGAGAAAGCATTTTCTCTGGTGCAGTCTTTTAAAAATACAAACCCAGATTTTGATCACAACCGATGGTTGTTTGAGACTAAAGGGACTTATGGCTATGGAAATGCCTTGTGGCCAAGTGATGGGTATGAATTTGGAAGAGGAATTGACATATCAACAAACCGTCCAGATTTCAGTGACACTAGGAACAGACCGTTGACCAGAAAAGTTGGGATTTCTGCAGCAATTATCAGCCCTTACAGGTACTACGCTTGCTCAGTTCCATTTGTTCATTATTTTTTCTAGCCGAGTGAATCACCTAGAGTAAAACTATCTTCCTTTATATATACAATTTGATGAATGCAATTTCGTGTGTGTTTGTTTCTAATCAGCTAAGGAAGTAACTACTATGCTTAAGCTGAAGTGTGACTACTACCATTAAGGCATTAAGTACTTACTTACCTCTGTTCTGTAATCTGAATTATGCTGGTAGTGGGGTTGAACATAAAAAAGGATGCTGATATATTTAGGGAGCAAGAGTTATGGAATGATAATGTAATTCCAAAGTTCTTCATGTGAATGAGGTTGGGTTGGTTTATATTCTGATAGAAGTTTGAGAACCAGATTAGCATGTGTACATTTATTTTACAATTCCACAAGTGACCATCAAAGTGTGTAGGTGTTGGTGCTCATTCCTATAAACTCTTCTGAGCTTTACTGTTTACGTTAATATGTCAAAATCATAAGGGGAACTCCTGGAACTGATGATGATGTAATGCCTTTTTTTACATTTAGGCTGCTAATGGTGCTTCGTCTTGGTGCTCTCGGCTGTTTCCTGACATGGAGGATCTGTCATCCCAACCGTGAAGCAATGTGGCTGTGGCTGATGTCTGTTATCTGTGAGATATGGTTTGCATTTTCTTGGCTCCTTGATCAGTTACCCAAGCTTTGCCCCGTTAAAAGAGTGACCGACCTCTCTGTCCTGAAAGAACGGTTCGAGAGCTCAGGACCACCGACCCTTGGGAGGAACCCCAAAGGGTTATCTGATCTTCCAGGCATAGACATATTTGTTTCCACTGCTGATCCAGAGAAGGAACCACCTCTCGTCACTGCAAATACAATTCTGTCCATCCTTGCTGTTGATTATCCTGTGGAGAAGGTAGCATGTTATCTATCAGATGATGGAGCTTCTCTGGTGACCTTTGAAGCTCTTGCAGAAGCAGCAAGTTTCGCAAGAGTGTGGGTCCCATTTTGTCGAAAGCATAAAATAGAACCTAGAAACCCCGATGCATATTTTGGCCAGAAGCGGGATCCCCTTAAGAACAAAGTGAGGGTTGACTTTGTTAGGGACAGAAGAAGGGTAAAGCGAGAATATGATGAGTTCAAAGTAAGGATAAATGGGTTACCAGATTCAATTAGGAGGCGGTCGGATGCGTACAATGCCCAACAGGAGTTGAGGGCGAAGAAGAAACAGTTTGAACTGGGAGAAAGTTTGTCAGAACCTCCTCCTATCAGGGTTCCAAAGGCTACATGGATGTCTGATGGCACCCATTGGCATGGGACTTGGTCATCAGGTGAGGAAGCCCACTCAAGAGGTGATCATGAGGGAATTATACAGGTAAATAATCTTCTTTTGGGGTTTTTCCAATAAATATTACTACAAGCAAACATAATTAAATGTCACTACAGCCATGGTAAAGAAGTATATAATGATGTAATACGAAAAACCAAATACCAGCATGGTCATTAATACAGTAAAATTTCATTATCGTCTCGATGTAATCATGATGACAATTAACTCTTTATTAGGGTTTTCCTATAATAATATACTTATTGTCCATTAGTTTTTAGTCATATATATTTTTTTATTATTTCATCTTGTTGTGTTTGTTATTATTTATTCCTTTATTATTTTCACTTTTGGAGACTAAATTGTTAACCTCTCGGCTCTCATTTGTTACTAATGAATGTCCTTGTATGTGATGCACAGATTATGTTGGTTCCAGCAAACACGGAGCCACTTTTCGGGAGTGAAGTTGATGAAAAGAACATTATTGACACAACAGATGTTGATATAAGAATACCAATGCTTGTCTATGTATCCCGAGAGAAGAGGCCTGGTTATGACCACAACAAGAAAGCCGGAGCAATGAATGCTCTAGTCCGAGCGAGTGCAATCATGTCTAATGGTGCTTTCATTCTAAACCTCGACTGTGATCACTATATATACAATTCATTAGCTTTGAGGGAGGGAATGTGCTTCATGCTTGACAAAGGAGGAGACAGGATTTGCTATGTGCAATTCCCTCAGAGGTTTGAGGGCATTGATCCAAATGATAGGTATGCAAATCATAACACGGTTTTCTTTGACGTGAGCATGAGAGCACTTGATGGACTACAAGGGCCAATGTATGTCGGCACAGGCTGTATCTTTAGAAGAATTGCTCTGTACGGATTCAGTCCCCCTCGAACCACTGAACATCATGGATGGTGTGGCCGCAGAAAGTTGAGGAAGATTCTTAGGAAGCCTCGACATCAAACAAACGTGAATCTAGAAGATGACGAGGAGATGGTTGTACCAACCATTGGATCAGCTCAAGATGAAGAAGATGAAGATTTAAGCACGAAGGCTTTGCTTCCAAAGCAGTTTGGTAACTCGGTTCCTCTTATCGACTCGATAGCTGTGGCTGAATTTGGAGGTAGGCTGCTGCATGGGTTGAGGGGGAAAGGTTGCCTCGGAAGGCCAGCTGGATCTCTGGCAGTACAACGTGAGCCGTTGGATGCATCAGCAGTTGCTGAGGCAGTCAGTGTCATAAGTTGCTATTATGAGGAGAAAACCGAATGGGGGAAAAGAGTGGGTTGGATATACGGCTCTATCACAGAAGATGTGGTGACCGGTTATCGAATGCATAATCGGGGGTGGAGATCAGTTTATTGTGTCACGAAACGAGATGCATTCCGAGGGACAGCTCCGATCAATCTGACCGACAGGCTCGTCCAAGTCCTCCGATGGGCTACTGGGTCAGTTGAGATCTTCTTCTCTCGCAACAACGCGCTTTTTGCTAGCCCACGGATGAAATTTCTCCAGAGAATAGCTTATTTCAACGTCGGGATGTATCCCTTCACCTCAATCTTCCTCCTCGTCTATTGCGTCCTCCCGGCGCTCTCCCTCTTCTCGGGGAAGTTCATCGTCGAGTCACTCAGCGTGACATTTTTAATCTTCTTATTAGCAATTACCCTCACCCTGTGCCTTCTGGCAATACTTGAAATTAAGTGGTCTGGAATCACTCTGCATGACTGGTGGAGGAATGAACAGTTTTGGTTGATCGGTGGGACCAGCGCTCACCCGGCAGCTGTAGTACAAGGGCTCTTGAAGGTCATTGCGGGTGTGGATATTAATTTCACTCTGACTTCGAAATCAGCAGCTCCCGATGAGGGCGAGGATGAATTTGCGGAGCTCCATGAGTTCCGGTGGACAGTCCTGATGATCCCTCCAATCACAATCATCTTGCTTAACATGATCGCTATAGCAGTTGCAGTTTTCAGGACTCTGTATAGTCCTTTTCCTCAATGGAGTAGGCTGCTTGGAGGGGTGTTCTTCAGTTTATGGGTTCTCTCTCATCTCTATCCTTTTGCCAAAGGGTTAATGGGGAGAAAGGGGAAGATTCCTACCATAGTTTTTCTCTGGTCTGCACTCATATGCATCATCATTTCATTGATGGCACTCTTCATCTACCCTCCCACTGGACACCAAGATTTTGTCTTCGAATTCCCATAATGTCAGCTGGCTGAAGCAATATTGAAGTTTGTCAACTTCATATAGATAGATGGGGTTTCCATTTTGTAACATGTGTATTTTTGTTTCTTTAACATGTCTGGATACTTTTCCTGACTGACCAACAAGAAAAACATTGTGTACTTCTCTCAGTATATGTGTGTATGAATCAGCATCGACTACCTACCCTTTCGGCCTTTCCCCTCCCATTTTCTATTGCATTCTGAACCACTTTTCCCCGTAAATATCTATTCTTAACCTACCTACCATATTCTTTTCTATTACAAATCTAATTGTTTTTTCCTTCTCATTTTCTACGAATGCATTCTTTTTTGTAGCAAATTGAGTTCCGTGACACGTCAAAGTTTGTATTTCTGTCATTACTTCTCTGAATACATTTTCAAGTCATCGTTTTTATTATGACTGCTTTTAGATCAATTGGGGTGTATCCACCATGCGCGTGTCAAAAGGATAAGTAGTCCAGCTACAATAATATACTCAAAGGCCACACCAATATTAACAAACTCTTCTTATCATAGGCTAATCAAAAGCTATTCTGAAAATAATTTTATATGCTCACAGGATCTCATGAAAGGTATTTTCCATAGAAAAAGTAGGCTTGGAACACAAGTGGGCATGTGTGGCAATCTAATCTGATAGTTTCTCATACATGACGGGTAAATAAGCTGCTGAGCAATTAACCCGTGCAAATTATGAGGGGAGATATTGATAAAATTGATGTTGAATATGAAAAGAGAATGTAAAGAGAGAAATTCATAAAGGAACATATTGCTTCACTACTTTATTATTAAGACTGCGTATCCTTATATATTACATTGGTTGGGTGTGTGTGATAAGAAAGGAAAGACAAGTGCATGTGAGAAAGGTATGTATGCATGGCATATAACATGTGATACATACGTAACAATGTTTCAAGGAAGTTATCATACAAGTACCAAATAAAATAGAAAATATAAAAATATATTCAATACTCCCCCTCAAGGTGGAGTGTGAAGGTTACGAACACCCAGCTTGCTCCGGAGAAATTGAAAACGATCTGCACCAAGTGCCTTGGTAAAAATATCTGCCACTTGTGCTTCAGTGGAAATGTAGCATGGTTGGATTTCCCGACTAGCGACCCGCTCTTTGACAAAGTAACAATCCATCTCTACATGTTTAGTGCGTTCGTGAAAAACAGGATTAAGGGATATGTGTCAGGCTGTTTGGTTATCACAGTAAAGGGGAGTAGGGTCGGGCTGATTGACCATAAAATCTCGGAGTAACCAACGCAGCCATAATATTTCACTAACCGTGACGGCCATAGCACGGTATTCTGCTTCAGCGGAAGAACGAGAAACAACAGATTGCTTCTTTGTACGCCAAGATATTGGTGAGTCACCGATGGTGATAAAGTATCCAGTACTAGAACGACGAGTAAAAGGGCATCCAGCCCAATCTGAGTCACAATATCCTTTTAGGATAGTGTCATTATCTGATGATAAGAAAATACCTTGGCCAGGTGTTTGTTTTAAGTATCGTAGAACACGAATAGCGGCATCAAGATGTGTTTGTCGTGGGCTGCTGAGAAATTGACTGAGCTGACTAACAGAGTAAATAATATCGGGTCGGGTTACCGTGAGGTATAGTAAACGACCAATGAGGCGTCGATAAGAGGTGACATCCACGAGAGGGCTATCATCATTGGGGCGTAATTTCAAATTTTGTTCCATGGGGAATAGACTGGGACGCCCGGCTGAGAGGCCGCTCTCTTCTAAAATTTCAAGAGTATATTTTCGTTGACTCAAAACGAAACCTTCTGGAGAACGGGCAACTTCAATACCAAGGAAGTATTTTAATTTTTCCAAATCTTTTATGCTAAAGGTAGAGTCCAAGTAACTCTTGACCGTGGAGATATGGAAGATATGGTCTCCTGCTAGAATGACATCATCCACATAAATAAGTGCAAAAGTGTGTATGGGGCGGGGCCCTCACGAAAAATGAATAGAGAATGATCTGCCTTTGATTGGTGAAAACCAAGTCGGGTGAGGGATTCAGTGAATTTGTGATACCAATTACGGGAGGCCTGACGTAGGCCGTACAAGGATTTGTGTAACTTGCAAACACGGTTTTCACCATTTTTTGTAAATCCTTGTGGGCTACGCATGTACATATCCTCGGATAAGTCACCATGGAGGAAGGCGTTATTTACATCAAGTTGGTGAACTACCTAGTTACGTTTGGCTGCAATAGTCAACAGGCAGCGGACAGTGACAAGTTTGGCAACAGGTGCAAAAGCCTCATGAAAATCAATTCCTTCAACTTGGGTAAAACCCTTAGCCACCAATCTAGCTTTATAACGTTCTACGTCACCGTTGGGTTTATATTTAATTTTATAAACCCATTTGGAATCAACTATCCTTTTCCCTGGTGGCGGAGGGACTAGAGTCCAAGTTCCATTTTCTTCTAAAGCGTGAATCTCCTTTTGCATGGTCTCTCGCCATAAAGGATCCCGGACTGCCTGTGAAAAGTATTTGAGCTCATCACATGAAGTGATGGCCGCTAGAAAAGCCTTATATGTGGGTGAGAATTTTTCATAACTTATAAAATGAGAAAGGGGATATAGTGGTGAGTTGACTGAGTTGGCGGTGGGCCGTGAATGGTCAAGTGAAGGCGACAAGTCAATCTCATAATCAACCAAATGTTTTGGAGTTCTACGGATTCGGGTGCTTCCTTGTGGTTCAATTAGAGGTTCAGAGGATGAAGGCCTGCTTTTTGATCCCGCGGTTGTTGGCATATGTGCAGAGATATGGTCACTGACAGAAATTATTTGATGTAGTGGGCCATGTAATTCATCCATGACTTGCTGCCCAGATGGTTCCAAAGTGTCCTTGATGGATCGTCGGACCAGCGGTGGCCGGAATCCACCGAGAATGAGAGAGGAAAGGGAGAGAGTGAACTGGTTTGCAAGTCTTACAGTATGAAATTCAGAGTGCGATTGATCAAAACTCAAGCGTTCAAAACTAAATCGATCGATCAATCCCTTTCCACAAGTTGGAAGGTGATATTTATACTAAGGAGAAAGGGAAATACTTGGTGCTCAAGTAAAAAGATATTAGTCTAATAGGAGAGGGGCACGTGTAAAGCTATTCTAACAAACTACCAGACCAGACGAACCGGGAGCAGCCACGTGGAAAGTTGATTGGAGAGAGAGAGCTTCTGATAGCTGGCTGATTGATTATTCCTCTAACAGAATTCCGGCCAAGGATTTCGTGTGGCCGTGTGCAGGCAATCCGGTGTATCCCATCAGTGCGGAGAATGACGTGGCGATGTTTCCTCATGAACCAAGTCCTTGCGGATTTGGCCTAAGTACATGGTGCTTTTCTCCCGACCTCGAAGGTTGCTGAGGTCGATAACTGGGAGCTCAGGCCTATGTTGAGAGGACTCGTCCTGCTGTCTTCTGTTCTCACTCTGGAGGTGGTCTGACTGCCTGGTGCTTCGTTTCACGTTGACCTAGAGTAAGACTTCTGAGGTCAGACCTGGTGCCGACCTCGGATGTCTCGAGGTCGGGCTTATGAATCGCTGAGTTTGGCTGACTCCTGAGCTTGATGTTCTACCGACCTCGGGATCGGGGTCAGGGTCGGTTGACTCCGTTGTCTGTTAAGTTTACTTGATTCCTGAGCTTGATATTTCCCGACCTTGGCGGTCGGGGTCGGGGTCAGATCCAGATGTGGACTTAGTATGTTCCTTCTTGTGATGAACCCACAAGGCTCTTTACCAGCGATCGTGGTACCCCTGGGGTGTACGGGAATATACTCCATCATGAGTCCCCCACTCTCCGAGGCAGAGTGAAACTCGAGGTGAGAGAGTAAATCTTCAATTTCCTGGGCACGTTCGCCCGGCAGGGGTGCTACTCTTCCATGGTCATGACAAAGGGGCACCTCATTAAAAACTCCACTGAGGAAAAACCCTGTGGGAAAAAATCCTAACGGAGGAAAAAGAGTATACTCCGCTTTGCCATGAAGTCCGGAGAGGAAAGCGACGCCCCGCTGCGGAGAAGTATGAGCCCGATCTTCGTGTATTCCGTGTTCCAAACCTGCCTCATGGGTTAGTCGTTACGTCCGCGGCCCCGGCCGCGGGTTGATAAAATTTGTAAGGAATTTTAGTCTCTGTGTGAAGTTTGAGGATATACCTGTTCGGTGTTGAGTCCGAGGTGACTACGTTGTTCTGAGCTTGTTTGTTGTGGTCTTGTTTTTGCTGCTTTTTGATTTCTTTCCCAAGTTCCCATCCCCACTTACCAGTCCCCCACTCCTGTGGACTTTAGAATATTTTCTAAGTGCAGAAGAGTATTAGTTTGAGGGGGACGAGGCAGTTGCATCTATCGCTTGGTAGACTTTAGGAGAATTTGTGGCGTGTAGTAACGTTGATGTGTACAAATAGGGATCTTTACACATTCCTTTTGCAACATTTTGAATTAATAGTCGCTTCTCAGCATTTAATGCGAGGGATGGCGTTTGAAGTGATTGTACGGCGATATCATTGCGCTTTTTTTTGCAGGCCTTTCTGAAAAAACCTTTGAGTTTTTTGGGCGGTTGGAGAGTATTGTGCCACGTGTAAGTCTCCCGTTCAATTTTGAAGAGAAGTATGAAAGGCGAAAGCTTTCGTCTTTCTCCTTTGCGCTTCCTTTTATATTCGAGTTTTCAGAGTTTTCAAGCATTTCAAGAGCTCATCTTCTCCGGTCATTGCCTGCGAAGTTCTTGTTTCCTCCGTCGACTTCCCGAATCAGGTTAGTCTCCGGCTCCGTTTGCTCGTTCTTTGCCTTTCGTAGTTTGGTCAGAAGAAACCCAGAATAAGGGTTTTTTCCGTCAATTTCGGCTCTGTGAACAATGGGGGGTCTACAGTCCCCCATTCTTGGTGAGGTTGGCACCTCTGGACTCGGAATCGCATTCTGATGCTGGTTCGAGTATTTAATTTATGTTTGGAGGTCCGAATATCGGTCCTCAACCCCAACCCCAGTTTTTGACTGTCTGCATGTACGTGTGTGTTTTTCTGCAGATTTTGAAAAAAAGTCTTCTCAAGGTAATGCTGGAGATAGGGCCGTCCCTCAACATGAGGTTGGGAACACCGCTGCTGTGCATGACGTGCCTCCCATCCGCTTTATTAGGAAGCGGAGAAGCAACAAGAAGAAGTCTGGGAACGCGGTGGGCACCCTTACGGAGAACGGTCCTCTCGTGGATGCGTGTACTCTCATTGACGTTCAGT